GCTTCAGAAAGTAAAAGTCCTGTCACGTATTTGTTCCACCCATGCACTACACCAGCTGAATTTAATTAGCACAACTCTTCAGCCAGGTAGAGGAGCTAATTAGTGAAATCAACTTGTTTAGTGAATGGCTAGAACAAATACATGGTAGGACTTTTACTTTCTGAAGCCGGGGTGACCACCTCTGGTTGTTTGAAGGCCTCCCTTCTGAGGTTGCGATGTGTTGCAGACGCAGGTTCTGATTCCGCCGGGAGCCGCGGCAGCGGGACGAAGCTGAGCGGCTGATGGCTCTCGTGATGAGTTGAAATGTCAGTCGCAGGAGAGTCTCATGGCAGAAGAAGTCATTAGCCACAGGCCTCCGTGCTGATCGATAAAAACGCTGAAGTCGCCAGAGAAAGAACGGGCAGTGGTTGCTGTGGAGGTGTCCATGGGTTTTATGGCCAGAAAAAGTATTCAGTTTAGGACAGGCACAAACTGGTTTGGAACCAGGTTAGTCATGAGTAACATTTAAATAACAGCAATTCAGCGTGCATGGTGCTGAAACTTCGGTAAGATCTATCTCTGATGCTTTACTACAGGTAAGAGAATTGCAGTCTGTGGGTGACTGTTAATAAGCTACCCTGTGGCAGAGGACACATACGTGATTGAAAGTCCTTTAAAAAATGTGGCAGAACTTGTAGCAGGCACACCTGGGCTTGTAGGGTTTGGTTACCTGCAAGATATGGGCTAGTGGCTGTTAGTGAGAGTGCAGCATAAGGCTAATAAAAGCCCTTTTTGAGAGCGTTGCTCCCATGGTTTCTCTGCTTGTGCCACTTTCTGCTACATCTGGAAATGTTAGCACGCTGCGTTGAAAGCGCTGCATACTTTGACACTGGAGCAGAAAGCATATTAAAGCTCTCTGTGCGCCGCTGCGTTTGACACATCGGTGCCAGAAAGCCCCAGAGCTTATTTGGAAGCGGGACAGTGAGATTTCTCTTGGCGGTCGCCGGCGTGTAGCGGTTTATCGCGTTAGCCTCAGGGCACTGCCTCCTGTCACTGCGCCCTCCCGGTCTGAGTGTGGAGAGGGTGAGCGCGCTTTAACCTTTCGGCTCGGCCTCTGGGCTGACAAAAGCCTGAGCGCAGGGGACAGGCCGGGAGGAACAACCGAACGGCACTGTGTGTGATTCTGAGGACCCTGAGCAGAGCTTCTGTGTGTGTGTGTGTGTGTGTGTGTGTGTGTGTGTGTGTGTGTGTGTGTGTGTGTTTGTGAGATCCCTGAGTAATGCATCTCCTGTGTGTATATGTGTTTGAGGACCCATTCCAGAGCTTGTGTGCACATATGTGTATGTGATTGCTTGTGTATGTTTGTGTGAAGAACTCCTATGTGAGTGCGTTTTGTGTAAGAAACTGAGGCCAGCTTCAACCTTTGAGTCTCTGTAATAACTCTGGCCACTTGAGGGGGTGAAGCCATAGGACAATTTGGATTAAACCGGACTAATACCTGCTGGAAGTAGTGGAGAATATTAGAGTGAATTAAGTCTTTAATTATGTTGTGCTGAATATGAACCGGATTTCCTTGGATTCCTCGCGGGAACATTTAAACAACACAGCACTTGGATGCGTACAGCGGTGAAACTTTGGTAGGATATATCCCTGGTGCTTTACTACAGGTGTCAGAGTATTGCAGTCTGTGTGTGAGTGTTAATAAGCTCTCCTATGGAGAAGCACAGGTACGCAGCTGACTGTAAGCAGTGCCAGATTAAAGCCGCCTGCTCGGTATCCTCTATCAATCAGGCGTGAGCGCAAGGACACGGGACAAGGTAACACCTGCCTAATCGGGGGCTGCTTGCGTCCGCCGGCCCATCTGCTCCTGCCTGGCCCACAGCTGCCACCGGGATGAGCGGCGAAGCGCCTCGCGGGGCCGACGGGACGGGTGAGGCCGCGCGCCCATCTGGGGGGTTAGCATTAGCGCGGGGGTCCCCCTGTCGCGGTAGCACGGGTCTCCCTCTCGTCTGTGGCGTGTGGCATGCGTGCTCCTGCTTTGGGGGGTTCGGCAGCAGGCTGTTAGCATGCGAGATGACGCCACCTGCGCATTGTCAGCCTCTACTGCTGCAGTTAGCGTCTTATCCTCTCACACACTCCAGGTCTGCGGTCCACCTGCACTGGGAGATATCAGCACACACACACACACACACACACACACACACACACACACACACACACACACACACACGCTCACTCCCAGCTGCTCAGTACCTCACATTCCCCTTGTCTCTTTCTCCAGGCAGTCACACACAGGGTCTGCTTTGTAAGGGGGTCTTTGTATTTTCATCCCTTGTTGTGTGATTTGCTGGAGATGCAGGACCAAGTCCATATACTGCAGGGAAACGCTTGGAAGCCCTTCCTGTAACCTGCTGTAACCTCGCACAGCGCATTTCAAACGGCGAGCCCGTAAAAACTTTTCCATGAGGGGATGGCGAAAGCTCTGGGATCGCAGAAGTATTTCCGTCCGCTCGGTGCCTTGTGTCTGCTCAGAGGAGAGTGCCGTGACTGTAAACACAGTGTGAGTTACTGCGGCAGTGTCAGCGCCGTAGCCCTGGCGGCGGCTTTGTTTCTCCAGTCATAACTGCCAGTTCCCGTTTCTTTCACCGCGCATCAATGGATCTTTTCTGCTCATTTGCACAGCCTCCCCTCCGTTTCATCGGCGGCCAGAGTCTGCCGCGGATTCCCCTCAGACGCGCCTCGTGCGCTCCCCATGCGGGCCCGATGGCGGGGGGGGCGCCCGGCCTGTTCCTGGAAAGCATTGTGGGTAATGAGCCCAGTGCCTGTGCCAGAGGCGCGAGCCAGGTTAATAGCGGTCGGCCGTGTTGGGGAACAGTTGGCGTCGGCAGCAGCGAGGCGGGGGGGGTCGGGGGAGCTCTGAGCTGAGCGGAGCGCCTCAAGCAGCGTCCTGTACTCCGCTGTGCCGCTTTAGCGCGGTGCGTTTTCAGAACGCGCTGTTCTGCCGACGCCTCTCACATCAACAGCGCTCCCCCTTCAAAACAATCGATCGGCTTCTGTCATATCATGAGCGTCTGCGCTTTACAGTACGTTTCCTTTCAACTGAGCGCCTCAGCTCCTGTTTAATAATTACTGCAAGCTTCTTGTGAAAGGCACAACCGAAACCGACTTCGCCCTTGCGACTGCGGCGGGAGCCCTGGAGAGCGCGTGGCAGACACAGAAACATCCTGTTTTGGGTATGGTTTTCAGAAATCCACTTCCCCCCCCGCTAGGAACACTTCCCACAGCGTCTCCTTTTTCCCCGTTCAGGGGAAACCAAGAACAAAGAAGTTTTTATTGCTGACTGCAAAGGTCAGCTCGCAGTGACTGCGTTTCGAGTGACCTCATAACTCCGAGACAAAGCAGCGTGCGCTCGCGTCTGGCCGTCCTGGGACTGCACCGCGCCGGTGCCAGCGCTCGCGGCGAAAAACAACGTCTGATCAGTCTAGACTGACAGATGACGGGAATCAAGGGATCATATCCACTTTGGCTGTGCGTGTTTTTCTCTTTTAAATAGATAATGCTGAGATCAAGTTCTGGCAAGATATTAAATGGAAAAGACAAGCTGGAATGATTTGGCTTCGAGGCCGTGAAGCTTTGAACTGCAGAATGTCTTTCTTTTCCTTTTTTTTTTTAATGTTTTACATTACATTACATCACGTTCATTTAGTAGACGCTCTTATCCAGAGTGAATTCCAGGACAAAACAACAGAAGTGTATCCATTCAAGTTGAATGGGCAACAGTGTCAGACCAGGCTAACACTCCCAGACCAGTGAGTGTGAGCATAACACGATTCATGTACTATTTATAACACTTTCATAATTCTGTATGTATGTTCCATGTCAGTGATTGCTTGGTGTCTAGGTTTGCTGTGGTTGAATTGGTACCCGATGTCCAACTATGCATAGTGTGGTGGGACTGAATATTAAACTTATTATTCAACCGTGACACCACTGATCGATTATGTGGATCGGTATTGAAATGCCTCAGATGCAGAATAAATAGTTCTCTCTCATCAGAATTCACGAACCGGAGCCCGCAAACCCTGCATGCAATTATGACACTTCATTGATTGTCGTCATTAATTTTTCTGCCCCAAAAGCAAGGGAATGCAGATCTGTTTGCAGTGAGTCATTATTTCCACAGGCCTTAGCGCAGTTCCAAACAGTGCTTATCGGGGGGAGAAGAGGAGAGAACGGGCTTCTGATTACTTGAATATTCCGTCTTGGCGCGCGAGGACTGTTCAAATGTGGAATGATTTGAAATGCACGTCCCCAGTGGATGTTCTCACCAGCGGAGTCACAGCCAGGGTGTAAGCAGTAGTTTTTGTTCCTGTGCTTAGGGAAGCACTGTCACTGGGGCTCCTACTTGCTGACCTTGCCGGAAGACCTCCAGCTGCAGCCTGGCTGTGTTATGTGACGGACGAGACCAGTTTGTGCTCTGCTTAACATGCTTGGAGCAGGCTTTCACCCTTCTGCCCAAAGAAAGCATATCCTTCAGAGCCTTAGACAGGATATGTTTTCTTTGTGCTGATGACGTCATGTGAAACTTCCAAAGAAGTCTTAGGTGTTGAAATGCGGTCAGCGATGTTCTCAGGTCAGGGCCCTCCGACACACGCATGCAGGTGCTGAGAATGAGCTGAGGTTCGGTGGAGGTTATGAGCGGTTTCCTTTCCTGAATAAAAACACCTCAGAGGTGCGTGTGACTCACGCCTGAGAGTACAAATAAGCGCAGTTTGGGGGAGTTGAGCAACGTTACTCTGAAGAACAGTCGACAGGCAGGGCAGGTCCAGCTGACTTTCACTCGCAGAGCTGTAACAGAGCTTGTGTGCTGTGTGTTCCCATCATCCTCTTGCTGATGGATGAGTCTATAGCCCTGTGGCTGAAAGTGCACAGACCCCCGTAGCAGCTGCTGGTCGGGAATGTGTGAGAGTGGTTCCACGAACACAACTTCCACCCTAGGCTGTAGGGTGTGGGTGGGATGTGACTGCGCGATCTAATGGATAAGGTGTCTGCCTTCGGATCAGAAGACTGAGGGTTCAAATCCCTTCGTGGTCATTGCAATGCTGAAGTTTTAATAGGCAGTGTGCATGTCAGTTGTGAGATGTCAGGACCCCATCATCGGCTGCAAATGATAGCAATGCCTGATGTACAAAATAGAAAAAAAATTTCCCTTTCCACTGGTATAGATACCTGTAGCCTATGGCACTGTTACTGAGTCACTGGTGCCTTCCCTTACCTGCTGACACAAGGCTGCACCTTGAAGCGACAGTGCTCATTAGTGTGGAAACACAGGAACTCTCCTTGGCATGTGACCGTTACCGCTTTAACAACCCAGAGCTGACAGGTGATCACAGTCACAGGAATGATGAAGTGCAGTGAGGTGATGCTGCCCATTGCAATAAGGCATCTGACTGCTCTTATTGGCTGTCTGATCTCCCTAGCCTGAGCACTACGGTTCAGCAGCAGCCAATTGTGGGGCTGGAACAGCATGTATTCCTACTGAAGTACTGGACCAAACTCTCTTCAGTTCACTCACTCTGTGTGCGTATGCCTGCTTTGAATATAAGCGCTTTATCCTTATTCTAGTGATTGAATTCCCCTCTGGCCGTTTTCTCTGCTATTGGAGGTGGAAGCAGAGCTGCAGATAAAAGCTTTGGCGAGTTGCTGTTTTGCAAGCAAGAAGTATGCAATGAGGTTGCAGCATATTCTCCCTCTGACATTGGAGACGCTTTCGATAACGTTTCAACCAAGATGATGGTGACACAGTGCGGTGTCTGTAACGGACAGCCAATAGCAGGCTAGTATTGGCCTGTGTTGCAGCTCCTATACTTTTATCTGACAAAGTATCTACAGCACTTGTAATTACACCTGTTGCAGTAGTTAGAATTATAATATAGCCAGCTAGTTGTGATGTTACTGTCTGTGCTGAACTCACTTGGCCTATTTGTTATCAGGTTAAGTTATAATGATACATGAAGAAATAAGGATTATTAAACCTCTGTAATGAGTGTTCTTTCTGGTGTGTGTACCTGTGTTGTTGGCAGCAGCACACTCTGTATGAAATGATATGAATTCTGTATGAATTCTGTCAGGTTGGGTCAGGTTGGGTCATTGCTGCTGTATTGTATGTTAAAACAGGGCTCAAACACAAGTTCATTTATAAATGTTAGTGTCCTGCCTTGGAAATGGCCTTGGACTTTGCTTGGTTCCATAATCTCAGAGTTGTTTGTATTTCTCACCTTCACTATATTTGAAGTCCTGTGTGTATGTTTAATTTAATTTCAGGTGGCAGGTAGATTATTGGCTTTTTTTAATGATACGGTTTAGATACCTAACTCTTTCATGTAGCTTTGTGTAATGAGGTCTATACTGAACTGTGGCCTTAAACCAAAGGTCTGGCCTGAACGCTGGGCTTAATAAGGTGATACACCTCCAGCCTTCCCGGTCGTGCCGATGCCACACTCTCTGACATAGATGAGGTCATTGAGGCTCGTACACAGAGCGTGTGAAGCAACCCTGAGTGTATCCCACAGTCTCTCCTGTGGCCTGACCCCGGTGCGGAGAGGCAGCCCTCCTTGTCCGTGCGGGGTTCGCAGGGGCGAGGTGAGGGCCCGGCGGTCTCTGATCAGAGGGCCGGCGGCGGGGTGGGAAGGCCTGCTCGGAATTCACAACGAGCCGCCGAAGCGCCGAGGGAAGCTTGGCCCTAATAAAGCGCTTTTGTCGGGGCAGGTTGGATTGGGCGGTTTATTACGGCTGCAGCCCGGGCCTTTTGTGAATGGCAGCGGTGCAGACAGTTGTGAGAGCGAGTGCACGGGGGGGAGGGAGGAGGGGGTTGTCGAAATGCCTTTATGGAGTGCGCCTAGACAGGAAGCGCCTCAGGGCCTTTTGAAGCACTCCGCTGCCAAAATCGGAGGGAGGTGTTCGTGTCCCCCTCTCCCCCCGTATTGAGGGCGCAAATTGGCTCTGGAGAGCGTGAACCGCGCTGGCTGTTTGGAACTTGCTCCCTCGGTCGGAGCAGCCTGACCCTGAAACGGTAGCTGTTCAGTAGCTATCGCTATTCTGGGTTTCTAATTAGTCTGGCCTAATAAACCTGCTGATTCTAAATCTGTCTGAGCACCCCCCCGCCCTGCCACACCCCCAGGACCGGCGTGTTGAAGTGTGCCACGGCGATTTGGAGGAGGATCACATGCGGGGACCCACAAGACATGGTCCACTTGCTCTGGGCTGTCGGAGGCTGCAGGCTCTCCCTGCACGAAAATGCAGCCTCTATAAACTGTACTTGCAAGGGGCAAAGCGGAACTGATCTACAGAGGGGGGTCTGGCCTGGGCCGGGGTTTAAAGAGGCCCCCAAGCCCTGGACTTGCACCCCTACGGCAAGCGCTGCTAACATGGCGTCCCTCTCTCTTGCAGGGCCCGGCGCAGAGGCGGTGGACGGCAGTCTGTCTGTGAGCCAGCAGGGAGGGAGAATCGTGAGTAGCTCTTTCACTTTGTTTCGGGGGGGCGGGATCTAGCGGATATGCGACCGTCATCCAGTCAAGTGCTCCGCGTCTGCCCGTGAATGGCTTTGATGCGTAGCGTTAATGCACTGTAATCGTTCCCGTCTCAGGCGCGCTTCCTCATTCATCACTGTCACCGCCGCCGTGTGCGCTTGGGCACAGACAGCCGAGCCTTTGTGAATGAGCGTAGGTGCACTTAGTCTGAGCGGCGCACTTCTGCACCGTGTCGGCTGGGGAGTGCGTTTCATCATACAGCTGGGTGAAGCCGGGCCGTGAGGCCATGCTGTGTCAGAACAGAGACTTTAGAGAGCTTGTGTCTTACTCTTACTCCTGCAGCCTGCAGTGATTCTTGTTCATGCTCATGCAGGGTCTTTGTGTGACATTATAGAGCTTCACTAGTTGAGTTTCACTGCACATTTCCCTGTTCTTGTTCGGAAAGGGAATTTTACATTGCAATGTGTACTTCCTGCATCGGTGACACCTTTATCCAGGGCAATCTGCATAGCTTACAGTTCACTGTGTAATCTGTTTATACAGCTGGCTATTGACTGATGCGATTCAAGTTAAGCACCTTGCACAATAATACTGCGGCAGTGCCCCACCTGGGCCTTGAACCTGCAACCGCAAGGGCGCGCTGCTGCCCCCTGCTGACTGGCGACCGTCACTGAGAGGGCTTACAGGTGCAGGTTCACATCCTCCAGCACGTCTCCTCTTCCCTCAGAGAGCGCAGTAGCTGCAATGATCCATTTTAAACTCGGCATTGTGAAGAGGGCACTCTGTCAGCAAGCACTGTCATTTGAAAGGCTCTTGCGCCATACGGAGGGAGAGCCAGCGCGTTGGCGGAGCTTCCAGGGGAGACGCTTCACAGAGAGGGGCCAGAGGGAGCCGGGCCCCCCTGTTTCTCCTGAGGTGCTCCGCTTCTCCACAGTGGATCACCCTGTAGTGTCCTGTCGGGGGGTTTAAAAAGGGAGTTGATCAGTGCTGCTTTGAAGCGTTTGCCGGGAGCGGCGGCAGGGCCCGCTGTGATCACCGCTCTCTCTTTAATAAGGCGGAGAGCGTTCCCCCGCGGGGGGCTGGAGTTTAAACACTAAAGCAGAGCCTTTAATAGCAGCGCCCCGGCGCTGGTGCTGAATTTAGACCATGGCTGGGGCATGCTGGGAAGGCAGGCGGGAGGGAGGGAGGGCGCATGTGCGCCGCTCTGGAGACGGGGCCTGGGAAGGGCTAAATTTGGAGGGGCGCAGAAACGGGGCGAGGCCGCGGCGTGTCCTCTGCCCTGGTTCGGCTGTGCTAGCGCTGGCCTGTCCCCTGAGCTGAGCTCCCACCCAGCGCTGTCGTACAGGGGGGTAGCAGATATGACCATTTGTGTGGCTGCCCTTCCATCTACAAGATGGCAATATACAGCATAGAGAGCTGATGCTTTTAAGAGCTGATGCTGTCCTTTGCATACATTTTGGATAACATGGGACAGAGAAGTCAGTACTGAACTGAATGGTCTTTGAGCAGCAGTGGTGTAGCTGCCTGAAGGGCAGGGCGGGGCAACACTCTCCAGGTTCTCTTATTCAGAGTGCTGGCTCTGGCCCCTGCGTGTCAGCCTCACACAAGAGCGTTTGAGCGCATATCTACCCTGTGCACAGCGGTGCCTGTGTTGTGTGTGTGTCCACTGAGGACCCATGACGTGGCGTGTTTGTCGGTATGGCCCGTCCCCTCGCTGAACCCCTCTGCGTGAGCTGTGATGTCAGAGCAGCGGACCCTGCTGTGTGCACTGGCTGTGGAGCGTTACTCATGTGTGAATCATGAATCAATTTACACACGCATATTACCCACTCTGGATATATTGGACATATTATATGGCACTGGATATTTACCTAAGCAGGTTAGCCCAAGGGCTTACCTCAAGGGTGCTACAGCATTGCCCCAGCTGGATTCAAACTCCCAGCCCTCCCTGTTGCAGGCCCAGGTCTGCTGCATTGCTACTCACTGGTGATCAGGCCCCAGCGGAGCCCCTGCACGGGCTTCTGGAACAGCCCTTCTCCTACACCATTACTGATGAAAGGGGACTCCATTTCACACACAGAGGGGGCTTATTTTTACCCAATGAGCCTTAAAGGTCTGACCGCCGTGGTGCTGGCCGGCTCTCACATCGATTGCCTTCCCCTTAAGTCAGAGTCTGAGGCATTTAAAAAAGGCAGCTAGCGATCGTTAAAGGGAACCCAGGGAAGATTCATAAATTCAGCACAAGGCCCTGAAGATGAACTCAGAGCTCAGAGAACCAAAGCGGTGGATGCACTGATGGCGGGGGGATCTAAACAAAGGTAAAACAAAAGCCTGGATGTGAAATGAAGGCCCTGGGACCGGACCTGCGGAAGGACAGTTAATAAATTCGCTTGCGGGACTTGGGCGCTTTTGATGAGCGGGGGAGTGTTTATCTGAAGTGCCTGCTTTGCATGGCTGATCAAAAGGCCGAGGTGTGACTGAAGAGCTGCCAGCGGGAGGCTGCGGCCGCCTCTCCCTCTCTCCTCTCCCTCTCTCCCCTGAGGAGGGGCGCGCTGTTTGCGCTGA